GTCAGGGCGTTTCCGAATTCTTCAGGACATAACGGGCTGGCGAGCCAGCCTGGCAGAGGGCGCAGGTATTCAAGGGGGGAAGCCACAGCCCTGTGGCCGCGGGGCCAGAACTCCGCAGATGAAAGAAACTTCCAGAGCAGACACGGGCCGCCTGGGTCAGGACCACTTTAGACCGAATCCCAGCGACGTGGGGCTCGCGGGTGGGGTCGCTGGGGGCTGACCCACGGGGACCTCAGCTGCGGCGATGTGCGGGTTTTCTCAGTGTTTCAGGCACGGATTTTCTTCCTTTTCCTTGTACTCTTCGATGTGATCTGAGAGTGCTACTTAAATTTTGGGGTTTTATTGATGTCTCTTCAGACTACTGAAAAGATGGAAGAACTCTGTCCGCTCCCTGTGGGTCGTCCCCAGAGCTCCCAACCGTGGACACTTCCCCAGCGGATACTTGTCATTAGGCACATCTCTCTTCCTTTCTTGGGTGTGACTTTTTGGGGTGTCCGGGGGTCAGTTGTGTGCAGATATGGGATCTCTTTGCTTCTACCTCTCCAGCATCCCCCAGACCAAGGACAATGTCACTCCCTGGGGTCACTCCCTGGCCGGGGTTAGACTCTGCTGCTGCACCCTGAACCCTTGCAGGGTGCACCTCCAGACTCTGCACCTCCAAAAGCCTCCCTCAGAGGTGACGTTCCATCTGGGGGCCCAGCCAGCAGATCTGTCCTAGTTATAAGCTCCAAGAACACGCAGCAGGGTCGCTGGGAAACAGGAGTTTAAGACAGGAAGTCGGGGTTCCAGGGTTCCAGAGCCCCGCTGTGGGGAATTCCATTTGGTGGTGGTGGTGTCAAATAAGCCTCATTGGGGGGCGCGGCGGCCCCTTCTCCCTGTGGGTCTCACCTCTCGTCGCCTCCGCTCTGCAGCCAGGGATGGGGTCATCTCACTTGGCGGTTTCTCATGCCCCAGAGTGTCTCCGGGGCCTCCGTGAGCCTGCGGCGGTCACCCCCAGGCCAAACCCTCCACCAGACTCCCGTCCTCCTTGTGGGGCGCCCCGGGCCCCACGTGTGTGGGTCCCAGCACCAGGAGAGACCCTAAACCTCCCCCAACCAGCCACTTCACCAGGTTTGTCACGGGACAAACTTTTAAGAGGGACTTACAGTGCGTGTCGCTCACCACACGTGTAAAACTCCCCCCGCCTCTCGGGTGGGAGTCAGAGGCAGCGAGGTTGTGTGAACCTCCGAGGACTCAGGTTTGAAGAGCTTCCTGCATGAGGGGGACTGTTCTTCCAAAGGCTCTGTTTGCTTCTGCTTCTGTTTGCTTCCAGAGGCAACATTTCTTTTCAAATAACCAACTGGTGGCTTCCTTTGCCCTCCGAACACCCAGGAACGTTCCTGCCGCTCCAGCCCACAGTTCAGTGTCTGTGTTGTCAGTGAATTATCCTTCTGCGGTTACAAAGAGTGTGTTCCTCAGATCACTGTGTGGGAGGTTTCAGTAAGATCTGGGTTTTGGGGAATCATGCTGCTTAGTAACAGAAATATAGTCAATGTTGTATGAAAACGTTTTTGTTGACGCCTGCGGGCGCTTTGTTAGTGTATCAGATCTTGCAGGAAAGTCGGAGCTGCGGCTCTGTGGGGTGTGGGGGTGCGAGGTCTCACAGTTGTTATCTATTGGAAGAACGTTTTGATTGGCAAGGAGAAGGAAAAGCTTTCAGGGAATCTTGATACCAGACCTAACAAGAGGAGAGCCCACAGTTAAAAACAAAGCCCACGACTGCCCGTGAACCCCACGTGGGAATAGAGTTGCGAAGGAGTTTCAATTTGGTTCTGGTTCTCTTGTGCCAAGGAGCTAAGTTGTTCAGCGATAGAGTAACCACAATAATTTAAAAAAAAATTTTTTTAATTGGAAGCTCTGAGAATTCAGCCCTGCTTGGCCCTGGAAGCATAAATGCCCTGCCCACGCCGTGTCGCTGCCGGCCGGCCCAAGGTGACGAAGCTGCTCTCTGGGGTCTGTCCCCAGCTTGTTCCTCTGCCGCTTCTGGGGGTCTCTCAGCACCCCGCACCCACCCGCTGCTGCAGTCAGCTCCTGCCTCCCTGCGCGATGGGGGGGGCCCTTTGGTCTCAGTAAATGTTTCTGGAAGACACATGTCTGCGCACCAGACGTTTGCTAGCAAACATCCAGCGATGGGACATGGAGCAAAGGGGTAATTAAAACTGCTAAAGAATTTAAGTTTGTGGCTTCGTTTTTCATGAACTTCTGCTCTTCGTTAATTTTGGCAGCACTGAATTTGCAATTCCATCTGGTGTGCGCCCGTCAGACCTGCCTCCCAGACAGGCGGCTCGGTCAGTGGCCAGTGAAGGCCAGCTCCCCCATTCTTGCACAACGGGCCCGCCTCAGGTGGCTGACCAGTCCTTTCTACTTCCTTCTGTGCAGGGTGTGACTGCGAGGGGGTTCGGGGCGAAGAGCAAATTAAGTGATGATGGAGACTGCTGATCTTGTTTCCATCCCTGACGGAATCCGACGACCGTTCTCTGTGACCGGGCTTGGTGTGCAATTACCTATGGTCTTGAGAAAGATATTCTTTTTCCTAAGTAAGTATTGAATGAGGGAACATTGGATCATAATTGATCTGCTTTGCCCGATTATCACCCAGGGAAATAGCTGTTTGGCCTTGTTTGAGAGCTGGGTGTCTTTTTGTCCTGTGGGTGCCCTCCAGCCTTACACCCTTCACCCCACGATTTAAAAATTTGAAAACCAGTTATAACGCTGTTTCATGAAGCATCATGCGTTTTTGTGAGATGTACACGCATCAGCCTACACGACATTTCTCGCTCTCTAAGCAGTCCGTAACTCTGACAGCCAGTGCGCCCCGGGACAGACAGCCTTTTAGGTTTTTGTATTTCCTAGGGCACCTCTCAGTAAGATGGACCAGTAACATCATTCATTTAATTCGCAAGTGTGTTTGTGGTCAGAAGTGTTTTGAAGGCCTTGCGACACAACTATTTTGTAATTTTACTAATCTTTTGCTAACTGACCTATTTCTCTCCCATCTACATGCCTTGTGGTATTTCATATATCTTTTAAAAGTGAGTTCCTTTTTGAGATTTTTGTGAATTCGATGACGTTTTAGGTGAAGGGTCTTATGATTTTTTAAATATTCTATCTGATTTATAACTTCACTTCTTTAGTTTGTGTAGTTGATTTTTCAATTTTATAATCTGACTTGAGATAATTTTGACAATATATCACTGTTTGTAAAAGACTTAAATCAATATGAACATTTTCTCAATTTAAAAAAATCATTGAATTCTACTTTTATGTAAAATATTGATTGCCTGCTTCTATTATAAAAGTCATGTTCTTAGTCATTTATTCAATATTTAAGATTCTGCTAATACTTTAAGTGCTTAAAGATTAAAAAAGTAATTTATGATGACGTTATAAAACTTGGAAAAGGCGAGTCAGAGTTATGATTTTAATGCCCACGGAAACCACAGTTTACACTCACAGTTTTACACTTACGTCCACAGTTCATAACCCTGAGGTGTCTGCTTTCCAAACATGATTTCCAGATTTAATCTTCTCAGACTGTAACTAGTTTAGAAAGGTACACTGCAAACACCCGACACAAATGTAGGTTGATGATTCCTACACTTTTAACTAGTAGTGTCACGTCAACTTCCCAGAGAAAGCAGGTAGCACTCGCAGTGGAGATAGAGAGATGCGCCACACTGCGGACTTGGTGGGCTAGCTCCCCAAGGCTGAGCCCCGAACTGCAGGAGTGGGGGGGTTTTCTGTAGTCTGGATGCGGAAGCTTGTCGCCCCTCTGTCAGAGCATGGTCTAGTAGCAGGAGGCGGCTGTGACCCAGCTACACACCTGCCAGGGCTTCACCATCGTGGGACTTCGGTAGATAATTAAGCTCGGGAATGTTGGTTCTTGCCTCCCACTGCCCCCATTAACTTGAGGGCCATGTGCTGTCTCTTTTTTTCTTTTTTTTCAGAAGCATCCAGCAAGCAGGAGTCTCTGGAAGCAGCAGCCAGTGGGACCCAGAGTAACAGAAGGGCTGTTTGAGCTCAAACAAGGTAAAGACCAGCTGTGCTGACTGAGAACCGCACGGCAGCTTGAGGAATGGGACGTGGGCCTGGGGTGCCGACAGGCTTACTGGGGTGCGAAGGGCAGAAGCCATACTGTCACGCATCCACCAGTCCCAGGAACCCCTCCAGCACAATGACAGTGAGCACCCGATTGATTCTTTCATCGTCTTGCACTGTAAGGAACTTTACTATTTCTGTTGTGGAGGTGAGGGGTTTGCAACTCTGAGAGATCAATTAATTTTTTCAGTCCCACCAATAAATCGGTGGACTGTTCTAACTCAGTCAATCTGACTCGATGTCCCATTTTCTAAATCACACTCTCCTTATTTTGGGACAGTTATATATAAACAGATGTCATCAAAGAAACAGATTAATAATGATGAAATAAAATATCATTTCTTAGGATCTATTGTGCACACAGGTTTTTTTTTAATGTTCATGATAAAGGAAGTGGCTATATATATTTTCTTTCTTTTCATAAGAAAAAATTAAGTCACATGAGGAGTAACTGCCATCTCTGTACAAGCATCAAATAAAGGATTAAGGTTGTCAGGGTTGACGTTCCAGATCTAAACCTCTGAAACTGATACTAGAATGAAGTATGAAGATTATGATGGAAAAGACCTTAAATGTCCTCAGTTTTGTTTTCTGTTTTTGTAAGGGTTATATCAGAGTCGAAATTGGTTTGTCCAGAGATTTGGCCAGGAGAACTAAAACAGTGAATGGGTGAGACAGAGACAGAGAGGTTGACTCTGAATCGCATCGTTCTACTGAGCGATCACACACATTTAAGGTGGAAGAGCGCTGCCCCCTTGAGTGAGGCTGAGTCTACGGGGTGATCACACGTGGTCCGGCTTTGGTCCAGCTGGCTGCTCACTGACCTCTGTGCTACTTCCTTCTCCAGAAAACATACCATCTCCATGGAAGCAGGGAACTGCACAGAAATATCTGGTTTTCTGCTCCGGGGCCTCTCCGACGACCCCGCCCTGCAGCCGCTGCTCTTCGGGCTCTTCCTGGCCATGTACCTGGTGACTATGCTGGGGAACCTGCTCATCATCCTGGCCATACTCTCCGACCCCCGCCTGCACACCCCCATGTACTTCTTCCTCTGCAACCTGTCCCTGGCGGACATCTGCTTCACCTCCACCACCGTCCCCAAGATGCTGGTGAACCTCCAGACGCAGAGCAAGGCCATCTCCTACATGGGGTGCCTCACTCAGGTGTATTGTTTCCTGATTTTTGTCGGCGTAGACAATCTTCTCCTGGCCGTGATGGCCTACGACCGGTTCGTGGCCATCTGCCACCCCCTGCACTACATGGTCATCATGAGCCCCCGGCTCTGCATGTTTCTGCTTCTGATTTCTTGGGCCATCATGTCCTGGGTTGCCCTCCTTCACATGCTGTTGACGATGCAGTTGGCCTTCTGCATAGGAACTGAAATCCCACATTTCTTCTGCGAACTAACGGAACTTCTGAAGGTGGCCTGCTCCGACACACTCATCAATAACATCTGCTTGTATGTGTCCACTGCCCTGTTGGGGGTGTTTCCTCTCATCGGAATCCTCTGCTCTTACTCTCAGATCGCCGCCTCCTTAGTGAAGATGTCCTCCTCCACCAGCAAGCACAGAGCCTTCTCCACCTGCGGGTCCCACCTCTGTGTGGTCTCCCTGTTCTATGGGACCGGCCTGGGCGTCTACCTCAGTTCCGCTGCGACCCAGTCTTCAGAGGAAAGTTCGGTTGCCTCAGTGATGTACACGGTGGTCACCCCCATGCTGAACCCCTTCATCTACAGCCTGAGGAACAAGGATGTGAAGGGGGCCCTGGGAAAGCTGCTCAGCAGAGCAGCCACTAGTGCATTATGGGTCACTGGCTTCAAAGCTTAGTAGACCTTTGGCGCCCCAGAGGCAGATGTCAGTTTTAATATCTAATCTTTTCTCCCCTCAAAGAATTGCTTTCTTCTGTTTTGAAAATTTCTTTTTATTCTCTTCATTCATTTTTATGTTAGTTACTTTTTACCATCTTTCAGTATTTTTTCCCCTACATTTCCTGTTTTAGCCCATAAACTTCCCTCTTTGATCGGCATTTTTACTACCATTTCTGAGTATGCCAAATTTAGAGTTGAAGCATTTATGTCAAAGCTGACATTTTCCTTAATATTCACCCTTCAATATTGTAGCCAAGGCCTGTTGTATATTTCTTTTCCCTGAGGGAAAGTACACAGCGATCATAATAAAGTCTGTACTTTCTTCACATGTATGACTGTATTTATCCTTAAAAACATTTCTTTGAAGTATTTTCTCTTTCACCCCACTTTTCAGAAGTGGCAGTAATTTGAACGGTCACTTGGGAAGTTGTCACTTAGATGACTTTACTTTTTTGCTAACCTCCATTTCACACGAAGTTATTTGATGTCAGCATCAGTGTTGAAATCAATAATCCAAATGTGGAATCTAGAAGAATCTAGATTTGATGGCGGTTTGCTGCTACCATTCACATTAGCATACCAGCTGGGGAGGCACTTGCATGTTGCTTTCTTCGTTATCCACCCACTTCCCTTCGCTCTCTCCTCCCTTCTTACTTCCTTCCTATGTTTGATTGGACTGTGATTTCCCATCGTGCATTTGTAGGATAGAACCTCCAAGATGCAAACAGTGGGTGTATGTGCAGAAGCAGAGTCGTTCTTCCGAGCTGTTGCATTCCTTTCCTGTGAGTGTCCGAGTGTCAGCGGGCATGGCAGCTGTGCGTTTGTGGAACTGCTGAGAACTTACTTCACTTTCTTCGAAGAACGCTGATAGAAATGAATGTCCGTGAAGGATGAAGTGGCAGATAATGCAGCGTTTCTCCTGGGACCGGCGTTCACTCGGCCCCACTCCGGACTGCGCTGACTGCCCGCCCTGGCCACACCACCCGAGCCACTCTGCCCATCGCTGGTGGCAGGCGTGGCAAGGGACGACGTGCGACCTGGGACAGACCTGAGCACACACGGGCTGAGGCGTCTGCGGTGTCTTTGTACTTGCCATGAGCTTTAACGCTGCGGCTGGATTCTGCACCCCATTCTAGACTCCCTAAAGAATGAAAATACTGCTCACCCTGCCATTCCCGGGAAAGCTTTATCCCACGCGTTCGCAGGCTTGTACCTTTCTCCTCTTTCCCACTGCTGTTTCTTTCTCCCGCCAATAAAATGATGGTGCAGGGAGCTTTGGCTCCGCTTTCTGTGCGTGACTAAATGAACATAGATGGCACAAACTGTCAGCAATATTATGAAAAATGTAGATTTGGAGGGAAAGATCAACTACTGGGAATACAAAAAGGACTGCAACATCTACTGGCAGGCTCTCATTTGTTTGGCGACACAGGTTTACTGCAGCGATCTCACTCCACTTTGGCTCAGTTACGTTTATGGCAGCGTGAGCTGAATGCCGGCGCGCAAGCTGAGGCCCGGAACAGAGAGGGTCAGGGTGACAGAGAGATGGTCAGCGTAATAGTTCACTGGGTGGAAAGTGCCGGGTTTTTGCAAGGTAACAGATTTTCAACTCTCCTTTTATAACTTCAGGGAAGACTCTTCTAAAATAAAAATTTCAAAGTTTCACTCAGGCATAATTTACCATGAGATTGCCAAGTTTGGTGATTCTAGGAAATCTGTGCTCATCTGACGAGTATCACCCCTAAGTTTCAGGATGCTCGTTACTGCGGTAACTATTACACGCTGAGGGCCACAAGCTGCTCCTCCGTGTGGTCTGTGTTGCACCCACACCCCATTGGCCTCTTTCCCCTGCAATCCCTGCCTCCTCCTCCCCGTTCCCTCTGGCACCAGCACCATATTGCCACCAAATTCAGTTTTTCTCTTTTTGTTTTGTCTGGTCCAAGTGTGCCTCTGAGTTATTTATACACAACTGTTAAGTAAAACCACTGGACATCTTTTATCTTCTCAACTTCTTCACTTAGCACACTCGCAGGAGTCCCCGCCGTGGGTCCCGGGAGGCACTGGCATCATTTTAGACAGCTGTGTAGTATTCCACTGCCGTGTGATGAGAAAGAAAGGCCCAGGGAAGGAAAGGCCGGGGTCGCGGGGAGAAGAACTCAGCGCGTTGAGTGTCCCGGCAGAGGGCTGCGGGGGTTGAGGGCGACCTCACCTGCGCCCTACACTGCGGGTGTCCACGGCTGGACACCGGTCTGGCTGGCTGCGGTCTTTCAGATGCCAGGCTGAGGTTAGTCCCTGTATTTCTTCAGAGTTGACAGCCCGCAGCAGCCACAGGTGATAACGTCTGGCCCTGGAGTCTGGTCAAGGTTTCCACAGGCAGGTTCCCATACTGACGCTTCAGTCCCTGCTCTGTCTGAACCCCGCCTGGGTCTGCAAGGCAAGGAAGCAGCACCTTGTTTTAGCACCCTGACCCCATGGATAGCCACGAGTCCCGGTCACTGCCCTGTTGTCTCTGACCTGTGACTGCGCCGGACGGTCGCTGATACCGGGCTTTCATCTCTTTGGGTGACTACGTAGCAGAGGGACGGCTGGATCATATGCAATTTCCACTTCTTTTTGTTAACTTAAAACATTTTATTTATGTATTGATTACACTATTGTTCACTTGAAAACAAGTTTGCTTCTCCCCTCCCCCACTCGCCACCCGTCATCACCACGTCCCCACACTCCTCCCTCCTTCTGTCCGTGTTTGTTTCCTCGAGAGGCTGCCACACTGTGTTCCCGCCAGCAGGCCACGGCCCTCCTGGCGGACTCTCCGTCTCTCCACCCAGGTGGCCGCGTTCTCACTGCGGCCTGGGTCTGCATTTGCCCTGGTGCCTCCAGGTGCCCGTCACGTGGGGACGCCTCCGGCCCTCTGTCACATGAGAGGCCGCGGTGCAGGGCCCATGTGTGCAGAGAGGGACATCTCTGGGTTCTTACTCTTCCTGCCGCAACCACTGTTTCTTAGTATCTGTCCTTTCAGGCAATTTTAACAACCAGAGTCTCCTGCACTTTATTTTTAAAGATTTATTTATTTATGCACACAAGGGCTGGGGCACAGGCCAGAGGTGCTGGGGTGACAGGACTCCCCAGAGATGGAGTGGGGAGCAGAGCAGGCAGATCCACTGAAATACACTCCTGAGGGGAGCAGCGGGGAGACAGGAGGGGTCTGCTGCGCCCTGAGGTCCCTCCTTGGTGGGGATCGAACTCGTGCTGCGGCAGCTGCGGACAGTGTCGTCGTGCTGAGACTTCACTCCTGGGCCACCATGGAGGCCCCCGCTCTATGTGGCTTTATCCACGTCGCTCTGTGCTCCTACTTCACTGCTGCCCATGTCGTGATGACTAGCGCAGACCAGTGGGGTCAGCACTGACCGATTGTGACAGGTTCAGACCAGACATCTGTAGGGCTTTACCAAACATTCTTGTTATTGAATCTTCAGTCAGGATGCTTCGCCTTTGACTTGGGAGACGTGGCATGCCGCTGAGAACCCGAGCCAGCCCTGTGAGTATCTGGAGCAAATCACGAGGCTTCCAGGAATTATTCTGGCCTCAGTGCAGACACCCCAGAGATGCCGCTGTGGTGACCACGATGTTCCCAGGTAACCATGATGTCAGAAAGCCGCGCGGGGTACTCGTGGCCTGGTGGCTACCCCAGGAAAAGGAAGCGCGCCCGGGCGGGTAATGGGGCGCTCATCAGGAGCCGGAGGGGCATGGGACGGACGGCGCAGGGCCCAGCCTGGTCTGGCCTCACGGAGCCTGGCGGGAGAGGGGGGTTCATAGAGAGTGCACCCCAAAGGGCACCCCGTGGGCTTGCAGTGCATGTCTGAGGCAGAGGGGCGCCGGGGACAGGACCTCCAGGGCGAGGGAGCTACAGGGGAGACGCCGGCCGGCCAGCACAATGGCCAAGGTGAGAGAGACAGAGTCTGCTTTTTCTGTTTGTACCTCTCAGACGCCCCCAATCTGGGCCGAGCCACAGCAGCTTGGCAGCCTGGCACCGTCCTCCGTCCCTGGAGTGGGACTGTGGGCGAGCCCGGAGAGCACAGGCAGAATTGTGGTCCAGGATTTCTGAGTCGCAGGAACAGGAAGCCCAGTGCCGGAGGGGACGAATCCACCCCGAACCAGGCAAAGGGAGCTCAAACAGGCCCGCCCTGGCCGTGCCCTGCGGGAAGAGAGCCGGGGGCCCCCCCTTTCCGGTTCTCTAGGGCTCAGAGGCTCAGAGCGAGGTCAACGCAGGACCTGCTTTAATTGGGAGCTTTGAGATTCCCACCGCTGTCCCCGAACAGATAAAAGCTCCCTCCTGCCCCCCGAGAAGCTGCGAACCCGAGGCCAGACGAAGGATGCCGCTGAGCTTGGTCCGTTTCCCTCCAGCCCTAGGGTCCTTGCTGTGCCTGGCTGGGGCCCCCTCGCCCTGCAGCGGCCGCCTCGCCCGCGGCGCCTCCTTCCTCGGTCTGCACAGCCACGTGGACGCAGTAAGTGTCTGGGCGGGGTGCGAGCCTCCGTGAGTGACAGGTCTGGGGTCGCACGGCCGGCGGTCGGGGTCGCGAGGAGCTCACTGAAGTGATGCCAAGGCGAGGGCGCTGATTTTGGCGCCGACTTTCGAGAATTTTATGGCGGTCACACGAGTGATACACGACGCAGTGTCGGGGAGCGGCACAACCCGCACCTGCATCTCCTGCATCAGTCGGGTTCTGGCCGCCCCGCGATGGCCTGTCCCCCGGTGGGTCCCGCCTCTGCCCCTGGGTGGGTCCCGGCTGAAGTGACGCAGACGCAGGGGACGCTGCGGCCAGGTGCCAGCAGACTCGGTACTCAGGAACCAGCCCGGTCCCTTATTAACTGACGTTCTTGACTTGACTGTAACGCGACGACTTCCAGGCTTGGCTTATATCCCTTCAGTTTGACGCAGACGTTCCACACTGAAATGGCGACAGATGGATGGACAGTTCCTCCTATCATTACATAGGGATGGGCAGAAGCCTCGGAGTTCCGCACCAGTACAGTCACCCCCGTCCTTGTCCGTACAGCTGACTTGTCACATCCTTCCTTCATCTCTTTACTTTATTGTATTGTTGCATTTCTATTCTTTAAATTGAGGGCCCATTGGGACTGTACATACTTTCAATGTCCCTCTAGTCATTCTCCATTCATTATAATCTTTTTTCCTTTGGAAGAAATGTAAAACTATCAAGGGCTTTAAATTATGGAAAACTGGGGTGCCTTTTCTCATGCATTTCTGTGAGTCACACGTTCATAGCTCTACACTATGTTCTGAACCATTAAGTAGCCCTTCTTACTGAAGATGCTACTTGGCCACACGGCATGATTTTTTGAATGACTTTTGCTTGCTCGCAGGCCCCGCCTCATAACACGGCCCAGGGCAGAGGGGAACCCAAGCAGAGATGGGTCCCATGTTCAGAACAGGGGTAAAGACGGTGACCCAAGGATATTACTTCATCTCTCTGCCAATATTTTTCTACGTGGCGTATTTTTTCTTTTACCTAATGCATTTTAATATTTTATTTTTCTTAGAAAATTAAAATTTGAGATTTTAACAATTTAAATCAATCTTTATACTATATAGTCGTATGACTTTTATTTTCTGTGATTTTTATACCCCGCATCACTAGTTATGTGTGTTTGAGTTTTCAATTTTAAAATCTGATTTGACATCATTTTGGCTTTTTACTTTGTGTCTAAAAGATGGAGCCCGCAGTCTCCATCACCGATGGAGACTCATGGGGAGTGTGGGGGTGACGGTGTCAGGGCCGAGGTGAGATGGTCCTGCTATAGTAATTGCTGGGTCGGTAAAGCTAAGAGGGAGCGCGAGAGAAAACAGTAACTCGAAATATGGGCCGAAAGAATAAATAAAAAAAAGAATAGGTGTCCCTGGAATAAGCCTAGCTATGACACGATTTTCAGATGTTAATTTTTCTGGCTTTATGACACTTATGGGCGGCCCCAATTCCTCTTATCTACCTAAACTGCAGATCTCTCAGTCCACTTGGAGACGTTGGTACAAAACACGCGATGATAACAGTGTGGTGAGTCGTACATACAGGCTATTCGAGTATAGTCAGGGCGTTGGCAACACCAACGCTCTGTGGGGTGGGGTTGGCACTCGACAGCCCTTTCCTGAGCACACAGGGTTTGTCAGGGTTCTTCTTAGAGAAGCAAAAGGTGGCCTAAGAGCTACTGCTTCAGGTTCTTTACACCGTGTGGATAGCATCATCACACTGACTCACAACAGAGAGGGGCAGGCCATCAGCCTCAGCGCAGAAGGGTGGGCCAACCTCAGGTGCAAGTTCAGGAGGACACATGGTAGAGTCTGCCCACCCTGTGAGAGAATACGTTAAAGTAACTGCCTCCAGAAGGTGCAGGGTCAACTGGTCAAAGATGCTATTTCTGGAGACCACTTTTTTTTATTTGAAGTAAAACCCACCCACAGCATCATTCATGATCAGATTACAGGATCTCCCTCAGGGGTTGCTGCCACACCAGTGTCAAAGTCCAGCTGACCACAGCCAGGCGGCTCCTCCCCTATGCCTCTCCCCTCCTCTGGGGTAGCCTCAGTGCTACAGTCAGAATTGTGGGTTGTTATCGGAACGTTTTGTTCCCTATATGGATGCAAATATGTCAGTGTTCTCTTGAAAACAAGCCATGAAAACCTGGCAGAGCCCTTTCATAGAAAAGGTAAGATGATGAGTAAAATCTAAGCACGCATGGCACAGCGCGGGGAGGTGAGCAGGGTCTTTCTTTACAGCGTCAGATTCAGGGGCCTGGTGAAGGACTTGACTCCACCTGTTGGGAGTGGACATGCAATGACTTTACCAGCAGGCTTCGGCGACGGATCCCCACGTGAAAGTCTCAAATCATCATCACCACCACCACCACCATCATCACCATCAATATTGCCGAGTATGAGGTTCCTAACAGTAAGATGAGGAAGTGCTTTCATGCACCGCAGCTTTTACCAAAGCCCCCTGCCCCCTAACCCTGAGAGCCACTGACCCCGAGCACACCTCACACGCTGCGCCTCACACGTTGGCCTCACACGTTGGCCTCAGATGCTGCGCCTCACACGCTGGCCTCACACGTTGGTCTCACACGTTGGCCTCACACGCTGGCCTCACAAATTGGCCTCACACTTTAGCCTCACATGCTGCGCCTCACATGCTGGGCCCACACGCTGCGCCTCACACGCTGCGCCCACATGCTGCGCCTCACACGCTGAGCCCCCACGCTGGCCTCACACGCTGGCCTCACACGTTGGTCTCACACGTTGGCCTCACACGCTGGCCTCACAAATTGGCCTCACACTCTAGCCTCACATGCTGCGCCTCACACGCTGGCCTCACA